GAGAGAAAGATATTTCTTGTTATATTTGTTAGTTGTTACAGTATTCTGCTTAGTGAGTATTTATACAAGAACATTCTTACACTTGCATACACTTGCTAACTATAACTAACTCTCTTAATCTGATTACAAGTGTCACAATCCTATTTGTTCATTTAACTCTATCAAGTACGAAACACTTTCATGCTAAGACGATGAAACGCAGACGCCATAACCAACTAAAAGGTTTGGAGGATGATGGTGGTGTGTGGATGCGATGGAAAGGATTATGGTGGGATATTTTGTTAAGTTAGTTCAATCCAACAACCCAAGACGGATTGATGGGGTGGTAAGTTGTTTGGGAGCTCGAATTGGGGATGTGGAGAATAATTTGCTTTCTGCCATGCGTAGTAACGAAGAAATAAGTGAGGCTATTTTTCAGACGAATTTTGCCGCTGGATTATGGACTGTGTTTCCATGGTGTCTTATAGTGTGATGCTACATGGAGAACCTAATATATTCATCCTTGTCATGGACTGCCACAAGAGGACCCAGTCTCCCCATATTTGTTCTTGCTTTGTGACGATCGAAGAAGTGACGTAAAAATAAACAAAATTAAGCCTCTAATGATAAAGCATTTAAAAAATAAAAAATAAAAAAACTTATCTGCAATGTCTAGTAATGATCAACTTTGCCCAACTTTTGATTGCATTGTTTTAGGTTTTTAGTGGGGAGAGCGTAAATATGCGCATGACACTTCAACGCCTAAGCAAATTAAACTTCCAAGCTGCCCACGTGTAGATAAGGCTAGTCTGTCAAGAGAAACCTTCCATAGTCAAATATTGACCTCACAAGTTTCAATGGAAGATAAAACTCTCAAACTTTTGTTTATGGGGCAATATAGACGTGAGTGGTACATGAGTTTGTATGTAAGAGATTTATTTTGTAAACCGGGTGTAGATAAATTTTTTTGTTTGATTGACTTATACGAATTTTTAGAGTAACAATTTTCATAGAGAGTGATTCCTTTTATATGTATTGAATACGAAAAAATAAAAGAATGCGAGAATCACTTTTGTTTTTGTTTTTTTTTATTGCAACTCAAAATCCCAAAATCGATTGGCTTAAGAATAAAGGCCTATAAATCTCATTAACATAAGCGCACTAATTGTCATAGAAATTTCATTGAAGCGATGTTGTGCTTCGTACTAAACAGAGAAATGAGGGTAGGTTGGAAATTTTGAAAGAAATTAATCTGCACTGTTCATCTGCCTATTGGAATGAAAAAAAAAAGTTTTTGAAAGCTCCTTATTGCTGCTTTGGGTTTTTAGCTTTTTTCACCTAAATTGTGAAAAAAGCTGCTTGAGGATGTTAACCAAACACCAAATCTTCCCGGCTTTTTCGAGTCGCTGCTTTTTAAAAAAAAAAATTCAGCTGTACCAAACTGTTACTAAATCCAACCTCCCTCAGAAGAGTAAAATGCAACCTCCCTCGGAAGAGTAAAATGCAACCTCCCTCAGAAGAGTCAAATGCCATCCGTTGCCAACATTTGTCTATCTGAGGACCAAATACCTTTCGTACTTTTTTCACTAATTAAATAGAAAGCTTTCGTATCGTGTGGAGGAGGGGGTGCTGGTGATGGACAGATGGAGTGGTTGGCCTTATGACATGGCAAATAATTCAGTTTGTACTATGCATAAGGATGACTTGTAATACTTGTAACCATTGTTCTAAAAATCACCGTTTAGTGTTGTTTAGGCATTTGCATCAATCGTGATTCTTACTAAGACAGAAAATAGATAATTTTTATTTTGCATTTAATTTTTTTTAATAAATATATGAAACTTGTTGAATACTTGGACTCATTAAATGCTTATTCTCAATGTCTTAAATATGTTCTAATACTTTATAATTTATATATCATTTTGTAATTTATATGTCCCTATACAATTATATATATATTTATTTATTTATTTATTTAAGTACAATTAGATATTTGTTTATATGTTATATAATAAATTTAATTAAAATAAAAAGAACTGCCTAGGTCAAGCCTAGACACCTAAACGCTAGGCTCTTATCCGTTACCCGACTAGTGCCTAGAACTTTTTAAAACCTTGCTTTTAAGTATTTGATTCATCTCCTTTGGCTCTAAACACGGATAAGTAGACCTTATCTTCTACAGAGACTTGAATTAACATCCCTTTTTTTTTATGATATTTAGTAACTTAAAAAACTTTAATTCTTCAAAAAAGGGTTATCAAGATCTTAATTAAACATTAACTCCTTTCACTGAAGAGATGGTGTGTCTTCATAATTATGGGTATGATATATAAACGAAGTTGGATAAGTTCCATTTTATTGTAGGTAAATTACAATTTGATAGATGTACAAAAATTATATCAAAAATAATTTATATAGAGTGAAAAATAATCTCAAAAATCCAGAAGACGACATGTGAACCTTTTTTCAAAGAAAACAAGATTCAGGTCACACAAATATTCTCACGTGCAACTGATCAACTTCTTTATAGGCCTAGCAGCTACACCAAGCTCCCTGCTTGTGGCATGGAAAAGTAAAGACATAAAAAATAGGATCAATCAAGCATACTTACCTCATCATTTTAAGATATCATCTTGTAATTAATATTTCGGTATAATTCTTTATTTATTCATCCTACAAATAACATACCCTGACCAATTCATGGCTTAGACACTGCGTGAAGAACATTAAAACAGTTGGAATTGCATTATTAGTCTGGGGTGCTCGGCCGAGTATTGGGGTGTAAGCAAGTTCTTCTCTTCCATAGGGGGGGATTAGATTTAGCCAGCCACATTTCAAGTTTGGAATAATTTTGAATTTTTGTAGTTTTTGATTGGTTTTTCTCCCCTCATGTATACAAATAGAGATTTGTAACTAAAAAGACCAATAGGGTCACGCCAGTAGGGAGCATATGGCATTTAGTTGAAGTGGGAAGTTGGGTAGTTTAGGGAATTACTGTATTTATGTACCAGTTTCAGGTTATTTGGAAATTTGAGCTATGAATTTCTGGGTTTGTGTTTTTTTCTTTTCATGTTTTGTTTTTTGGGGCTTAAGGAGAACATAGTTTATCTATTATGCAATTTTTAGCAGGAAAATAAATAAAAAACTAAATAAATGAAAAGCAGTGGCAGAATAATCAGTTATCAAGTAAGATATGTGGTAGCAAGAATCCGCCCACCATCTTCAGTCTTGACGAATTTATAGAGAGGTGGCCGGCCTTGGGATAGGATTTTGCCCTACACATAACGGCTTCCCAAACCCTACACCTAGGTCGGCTTCCCATTGGCCAAGGTTGTGTCATCCTTAGGAAATAATATTCCCAAGATGATGGAAGCATCATTGATTGAATGTGATAACGATTCCTTACTTTTTTTGAGTTGATCTTTAATTGATAATGTATTAAAGATAGGATTTGGTGATTATATGCCTTTGACTTTTCCATGTCAAAAGCAGTTAAGCTTTGAGCAGTTGCATTCAGTTGCTTCGACCTTGAGAGATGCTGAGTTGTTGGTGTGAATATTTGTGTGCCCTGACCATTTAATGAGATAATCTCGTTTTCTTCAAAAAAAAAATTACATGTCGTCTCCAAGATTTTTAAAATTTTGTTTTTGGCTCCAACGATCAATGATTAAAATACTTGTGTGTAGAAGAACTTGGTTCTCTTCCAAACTCAGAACTCTATTTTTTTAGGGCATGCATGTCACATCCCAGTCTTGATTTCGCCGTAACACGATATTGTCCGCTTTAGGCTTACCATTCCCTCACGGTTTTGTTTCTAGGAACTCACACGAGAACTTCCCAGTGGGTCACCCATCCTAGGATTGCTCTCGCCTGAACTCACTTAACTTCGAAATTCTGATGGAACCCGAAACCAGTGAATTCCCAAAAGACATCGTGCTATATGGAGGTGGGCATGTACATATGAGGCACATCACCCCCTCTCTGTTGGTCGATGTGGAATGTTACAATGCATGTCTGCATGTACTAATTTAAAAGGGAGAGGACAATGCTCCCAACACATATGATTAAGTAAATGGGTAATGCTAGAAAAACTAAATTTGTAGATAATATTTTGAAAGCTAAAAACATGAAAGTTGATGATTGGTTTATCACTTAAATATTGATAAACATATTTATTTCTATTGATGACATATTATTTAGTTTGTAAATTTAGTCTTTGCATTATTATCCTAAGTAAATACGTGCTCTCTTTGTTTTATAGAGGTATTAGCATAGTCCTAGGTATGCATGGGACTTTATATGTATATTTTATTTCATTATACATATAAATGTCAGACGGTTGCTTTCAGGTGTCTGGTTTGGTTAAAACCTTAAAACAGCCTGTCAACAGTAGAAATCCATCCACTTGTATAATTTAATGATTTTTCTCTTTGGTTGAACAGTCGAACTTGATACCTGAGCTCAGTGTTCACACGACGTGGAATTCATGTGCTGAGGAGTAATGTTATTCATACCATGTTTTTGTACCATATTTTTATACCATCTTAGGTGTCATTTGATGTGGACCACATCATTTGAATTAATCAGAAATTTAGTTCATTATTTAATAAATTAATAATTAAGAAAAACTAATTAATTAAATGATGATTGTAGTATACGAGAAGTTTTTTTTCTCTATTTCTTTGGGTTTTGCAAATTTTTCAAATGATTTGGTGGTTCATATCAGATATCACCTAAAGTGGTATAGAAATATGATATAAAAATATGATACGAATAAAATTACTCATAAGTTTAGTGTTCACACTTCGTCAAAATATGGATTTGGATTCGGTACTGACCTTAGTGTCAGAGCATAGAGATTCATATTTCTAAGCCACACAGATTAAGTTTGACGATATAAATTAACCCATTCTGCTGATTTATCTCATATGAACTAACAACTTTGCTTTTTTTTTTTTTTTTTTTTTTACAAAAACTAATGAAATGGACTTGAAAACTTTGAGTTTTAATGATAAGGACAAAATAAAGGGTAAAATGAATAGTATCAGGATTGAGTTTTTAATATAAAAATGTGATTTTTCATTAAAGTGAACAATACTGTGAATTTTTTGTTAAAACTCATTTTTTTTTCATACAAACATATGGTCCAAATTTATAGATCCTTAAACTCTAGACACTAAGGTCCATAATGGATCTAGTTCCTCAAAATATTTCGCGCTCACACAATCGGCTTAATTAATATAGAAACAATTTCCACACATAAATTTTTATCTCTTTTTTTTACCAAAATATTTTTCTTTTTGAACACCTTAATGAATACCGCTTTCATTTTCTTTTGTTTAATCTTTAAAAAGTAAAAATAAATAAGAGCGCGGAAAAAAAATTAATGGAAATCTCCCCTTAATATGTAGCTGCCTTTCTTTGATCTATAAAAATCCACCAACTATTCTTCTTATTCTTCTCTTCCTCCTCCTCCTCCTCCTTCTTCTTTATCTTGTCAATTCTTCGCCTTCTTATTCTCGTCAATTCTTCTTCTTCTGGTAAATTCTTTTTCTACACCCTTCAATCTCATATCCATACCCCTACAAACTCAAAGATGGATGACAAAATTACTAATAAGTCATCAGTTCATAAAGAAGCAGCCACCCTTCCACCCAAGAGAGGTAAAATCAAATCCAAAATCTTTGAGGACATAAAAGAGACTGTCATCAATCTGATAGGAATGGGAAATGCAAGTGACAGCTCATCAGCAGCTCCAGCAAATCAGCAGCCAAATGAAAAGAAAAAGGCTTGAAGAGCAGATTCTTTCTGTTGGTGAATCTTTCAAGTTTTTTACTGTGACAAATTTCCTGTTTTAACTTTATGCACATTGTTATGTTGTAATTTTTACAATCGATTTGTTCTTGCTTGAAGTCAAATTATTCCCCTTTTACTAACTAATTCACATGTTTGAGAAATTTGAAAATGTCCCATTTTATGAAGATTATGTAGGAAATGAAGGTGTTAAATTGCTATAAATAATGAACAGAAATTAAATATTATGAATATGCACGCAATAGAATGGAATTAGAAAAATCTCAATTGAGTTTAGGCAAGCTTTCGACGCTTTGACCTTAAGACGATTGCCGCCCCATATTTGTTCTTGTGGTTTACTATGGTGTTCGTCTCCCATAAGACGACTCCCTCCTTGTGAAAGAAGTACTGCAATTCATAAGGCTCATTTGAACTCGAATATGCAGGAACTTTCTTGAACGAATTATTCTATAATACATGCCTAAATGATCTCTAGTATGTAGAAGTAGTGAGTGTAATTGAATGAATAACTTGCAGGAGTATTCCTATATTTATAGAGAGTCGCTTTGTGTAATTTAACATGGGAAAGGTTTCTATATGAGTTTAATTTATGGGAAGGTGGCGGCTAAGGATTCGAAGAACTTAGGAGATGGAATACATCTCCCTTTTAGTGTGCAAGAGTTGCCTGATGATAAACACGAGTCCCCCAATGATGAACTAGAGAGTCATTGTTGTGAAGAAGAAATCAACTTTATCCGGAGCCCGGAGTTGTATGCGGTTCTTAACTTTGATCCCTGTTGTATAAATTTCAGCCAGCTATCTTTTTTACAATATATGATCTAACTTACACGTTATAATTCTGATATTAGGATCGCCTCTGGAATGCCTGTTCAGGTGAGCAGTTGGTACTTTAGGTTAATAGTTTTAATTCGTGGATAGCCACAAGTAAGTGTGCTGTGACTCCGTATGAGGACCTCCTTCCCTTCTGCCCACTCTCCGTTCTCTAGGGAGTGGAAAAGGGAGATTCATTGCATGAAATAAAGCCACAACTGAGAAGCTCTAGCCATCTCATTGACTAGCAGTCCCGCAACTTGTTCACACATTTCATGTTAAACAAGGTGGAACCAGTTGTGAGCTATATTGCTTCATCATAAGCCCTGACTGAACGCAAAAATTGCTTGACGGAGAAGATACCAATTTTTTAGACGTTCTGGTATTATGAATCTATGCTTCAAAAAATGTGATACGTTTTCTGTAATATTCTGATTTCACATTTTTATAAATACATTGAAGAAATTAAAAGATAAACAGTTTGATTAGTATATATGTGTAGATCAGAATTACGCATGTTTTAGAATTTCAATCATTGCATGGTCTCGTCTATTTCCACAACAGTCTGAATGCTACGTAAGGATTATCTACGTTCCTTGAACAATCTCCGTGTGTTGTTTGTTTATCTATATCCTTCCCCTTTCTGGATAAGAAGTTTGTGTTTCTTAGGTACATAGAACTTGAGTCTTGACAGAGATAGTAGTGCTATCCTGGTGATGGGAAGGACACAACCAAGTGCGACGTTCTGCATTCCATCTTCCGTAAGAAAACTGCTTGAGCATCAAATGATGTGAGTGACTGCCAATTCTTTAATTCTATGTTGGTGCTTGTTTATGGAATGACCCGTGCTTGTTCATGTCATGTTGCGAGGCTGTTAGTTTTTACATATTTCATTTATGCTTAATTGTACATACGCACTTGCCTAACTGCTTATATGGATTGGACTTTCTATTGTGCATATTAGAGACACTAGTAGTTGATCTTGGATATTGGATGTTTGCTTTGAAGAGAGCCAAGAACTATCATAGTTCTGTCTAGGGTTGTAGTACTTATGTAAAGTTGTACATAGGCAAATCAGACATTATTGTACTTGTAAATGCTTTTTACATTCGTGTAGAACAATTGATACATTGTTTTTATCATTCAATAAAATGCATATTTCTGAATGTTGCTTGGTTTAATATACTGTTGATTACTCTAAAGCATTAGAAAAATGTAGACGAATTTACAAACATCTTGACCATTGCAATAGCACAAAAAGAGATATTCGTACTTTTCAAATGCTAAAAAAAATTTATAATATCACTTTAGAAGCCCCTATAATTCTCATCTATAATAGCATTTCTAAAACTCTATCAAAACCATATTTTGTGTTCTAAGATGTTATGTGGTGGAGATTGTGTTCAGAGTTGAAATTAATAATAATTTATTTACAGGTGCGGAGATTGTGGTAAGGTGTATTACATAGAATGATTCTAGATCATGCTGGCAGCATGTGTGCCGTCGCTATGCAGAGAAAGAAGATAGTGCAATGTTGTTGCAGATTGTGTAAGTGTACAACAAGTTTGCATTTAACGGGGCAATGTCACAACCCTGGGGAAGTAGTGCAGCTACGGCTACACCATGTGAATGAATGTAGCTCTGAAAAGAACACGAGCAAGTTGCAAAGTCCTTCAACTACTCGTAGTATGCAGATGGGTGTTGTCTGAGGTGCCTTCGTGGAAACGGCCTGCGGTGGGGTATGTTAAAATAAATTGTGATCGGTCATGGTGCTCGCAGACAGGTTTTGGTGGATACGGGTGGGTTGTGCGGTCGTCGGCTGGTATATTTAAAGAGGCTGGTGGCTTTCTGTGCAGCTCTAGTGCGACAGTGGAGCCATATATCATTAGAGCAGGACTAACCGCTTGTCCAGAATGGGGTTTTAGGAAAGCTGAGTTGGAATCAGACGCAAAAAGAGATATTAGATATGGTGACAACAGGGAAGACTACAGAAGGGATCATCCACGACATTCACATCCTAGCTTCTCAGTTCGAGTCAGCTGTGTTGAAATTTCCGCTCTATCTTTTGTGGCTGCCTATGCTGTTAAGGAAAATGGTGTTGTTGAGTGGGATGGTTTTGAGCTGTCATCTCCAAACGAGATGTCAAATACGCCAAAGAGAACTATAAAATATTGAGGTGTTCTCCAATTTTTTTTTCTTTTTAAAAGGGGAGCAACTAGTAGCAAGTCACGGTTATCCACCTCTTCTGGGAGTTGAGAGACTCACAATGACATTTCAGCCTCCCCTGACCACAAGTCTGACTTCCACACCAGCAGCGGGTTTCAAACCCAAGACTTCAAGTTTTTAATTTGAATGAAGCCTCGCAATTCATCCTTTAGCTCGTGGTTAAGGTGTACTCCAATTGACATGCAATATATGATGTGGTCTTCTAGCTTGTCTTTTTTATTACAACAAAGCAAAGAAGAAGTCAAATATATTTAATATATTTTTTTAATGCATAGGTCCTATTGACAAATAGATCGTAAAAGCTAAAATCGATTTTAATTAATTTTTATTAGTTAATCTAACTATGGAACTCAATATAATAAAAAAAATAAATACATATCCATTAGGACAAAAAAAAAAGATTTAACATTTATATTCAAATGGTCACATCAGCTAGCAAAGAACATTTGGACAAATTATATTTGTCATTATTTCCTTTGAAGGTCTAATATCCTGGCTGTTGATATTCATGTTTCTATCCGTATATGATTACTAATGAAATCTAACTATTGTTTGTGGAAAAAAAAAGGTTGAAATAAACATAAGCCTAGAATAATGAAGCATTTAAAAGTTTTTTGCTTCCGAAAAGCATTTAAAAGTTCACCAATGCAAATTGATTATTTTCAGTTATCTGCAATGTCTAGTAATGATCAATTTTACCCAACTTTTGATTGCATGGTTTTTAGTGGGGAGACTGTAATAGGAAATGGACAAATAAATCCCTTCAACAACTAAGCAACAACTAAGCAAACTTCCGAACTGCCTACGTTTAGATCAGGTTAGTCCTTGTCAAGAGAAACCTTCCATAGTCAAATATTGACCTTTTTCAATGGAAGATAAACTTTCAAACTTTTGGTTCTGGGAAATGAAAACATGAGTACTTCATGAATGTATATGTGAGATTTATTTTATAAGCCGGTTGTAGATAGTTCTCATTGATTGATACACTTTTTCAGAGCGACTTTCGAATTATAATTTCTTTTATATGTATTGCGTGCAAAAAAAAAAAAAAAACAGGAGAGTGCGAAAATCAGTTTCATTTTTTTTTTTCTTTTTTTTGCAAACTCAAAATCCCAAAATTGATTAGCTTAAAAATAAAGGCCTTGAAATCTCATCAACATTGGTAAATTCAATCAAAGTTTGACCTGAGACTTATAGTTTCCTTAGTTATTAATCTCCCCTCATCACTCTCACTTGATCAGAAGACTCAAATGCCATCTCATGCCACCTGTTGCCTCTCTGAGGACCAAATACCTTTAATAGTCTTTTCAACAATTAAATAGAAAGCGTTCACAACTTGTGGGGTTGGAGATGGAGTCGTTGACCGTAGATATGAATAATTCAGCTTGTACTACGCATAAAGGATGGCTTTTAATTCTTTGATTCATCTCCTTTGGCTCTTAAACATGAACAAGAGACCTTATCTTCTACATAGACTTAATACTTACATCCCTTTTTATAATCTTTAGTAACTTTGAAGAACATTCATTCTTCTAGATAAGGGTTATCAAGATGTTAACTAAACATTAACTATAATTACCCTTCAACTGCTGACATAGTGTCTCTTCATAATTATGGTTACGATGTGTAAACAATGTTAGGTAAGTTTCATTTCATTGTGGTTAAATTACAGTTTGATGCATGTGCATAAAATTTATTTTACTTTTTTTTTGAAAAATTATATCACATATTCAAAAGGATTTTCACACATTATTTTCTTTTTCTGCGCACCCTTATTTATTCAATACAAATACTACAAATAAACGTGTATGAGAGAAAAAAAAACGAAGAATATATAACTTCATAAATATGAAGAACGCAGTGTTGCTTCTCCAAGTCAAGTGAATTCTTGGAGACTTTTTGATTGGCCTTTGTTTGCTTGTTAGAAGATTCTACTACGTTCAAAGTTCAAACCGTCATCCCACGCATGTTAACATCTAATACCACATAGACTTTACATTAAAAATTAAAATAAAAACCAGCTGTCTCTCCTTGGACACACACACTCAAACCCCACATCACATATTTTCCACTCTTTTTTGTTTTGTTTTTTTTTTTTTTTTTGCATTTCCTTTTCACACTATTGTGAACCCTTCTATGATTCCCCCCACCCAAAAATTCCCAATGTGTATAAATATATGTATCCACCAAGTTTTATTCTCCCACAAAATCTTCCCTCTTCTGAAAACTTGAAATTTCTTATCCTCCTCCGTCTTTTTGCTCTGTATTTTTGTATGGCTTCGGTTACTCCAGTAAAATTCAAGTCCATGGAAACTGAGCTCCGCTCAAAGAGGCCACTGATAAGGCTGCCTCCACCAAGAGGTCAGATTAAAGCCAAGATTTTCAGAATGTTGGGGTCAAAAGTAAAAACTGCAGCATCATCAGTGATGAAAAAACTGGGAACAAAGAAAGGAGGATGCTGTGGAAGCTGAGCCTCCACTTTCATAGGAAGAGAGGCTTCGATGCACGCCCTGTACGCCGCTATGTCATTCCAGGCCAATAGTACAATGACGTCACGTGGGGAACATTGAAACAGTTGGAATTGCTGGGATGCTCGGCGGCGTATTGGGGTGTAAGCAAGCTCTTCTCTTCCATAGTGGGATTAGAGTTAGCCACATTTCAAGTTTGAAATAGTTTTGAACTGTTGTCGTTTTTATGGGTTTTTTTCTGCCTATACCTACGCAGATAGAGAGTTGTAATATAAAAAGACCAATAGGGTCATGCCAGTAGGGATCTATGGCATTTAGTTGAAGTGGGGAGTTGGGTGATTTAGGGAATAACTGTATTAATGTTCAAGTTTCAGGTTATTTGGAAACTTGAGCTACGAATTTTGTAAGTTCTGTTTCTGGATTTGCGTTTTTTTGTTGTCATGTTTTGTTTTGGACTTCAGAGGAGAAAATAGTTTATCTATTCTGCAATTTTTAACAGAAAAATAAATAAATAAATGAAAAAACAGCAGCAGCAGCAGCAGCACTACCAGTTATCAAGTAAGATCGATCAATGATTAAAATACTGATGTGCAGAAGAACTTGGTTCCCTTCCAAACTCAAAACTCTATTTTTTAAGGCATGCATGTCAGGCATGTCCTAATTTAAAAAGAGAGGTTTACCAACTCTCTCTGTCTGATGGAGGTATTAGCATAGTCTATAGGTGTGTATGGGACTTTCTTGCATCACGAGGCTCAAAAAAATATGTATACTGTCTTTCATTGCATGATCACGTAATGAGAGAAGGAAGTTTCAACTAGGCTATCCAGCCTAGGCCTGAGTGCCGACCCCGTCCACAAGCAACGAGTGCAACGGCGAGGACTTGTATTGACATCGGCCACAAAAAACTATTTCAGAGTACAAATAAATAAAAAGTAAGCGACATTCGCATAAGTGACAATTAATATGATGGCATAGATGAAAAAGTAAGAACTACATGATTCTTGTTCGATTTTAATTTTTCTTCTATAATTTTAGACTATTCAGTAATTCAAAAAATTGAAAAGTAAAAATTGTTTCTCAAAAAAAATTTGAACAGTAAAAATTGTTTGAAAAGCAAGACTACCAAGTAAGTTGAACTCAAACATGTTAATTTATTTGAAGCCCTACTGTTCTTTTTTCCGTTTTTTTGTTTTCATCAAGAGAGGGAATAATCATATTAAGATTTGGTAATAAAAAAAGACACAATATGATGTGATCCATATATTATTTGTCAGATGTCAAATGGTGTCTGGTTTGGTTAAAAAATCAAAAGCAGCCTCATTGGCAAAAAGCAACAGCAGAAAGACATCCCCCATTTTAATGATTTTCTCTTTGGTTGAACTTGAGCTTGTCTACTTGTCTCTTGACTCTTAAGGAATTCCTCACGTGTTCAATGTTCACATTGTATTAAATTATGTCACGCTCGCACAACTGGCTTAACTAATATAGAAAAATAATTCCCCCACATAAATTTTTTCTTGTTGAGGACGTCATTGAATTTCGCTTTATTATTTTTAAGAAAACTAATAAAAAAAAATTAAAAATTTTGAGTTTTAATAATTAGGAAAAATTAAAAGATAAAGTGAATAGTATCATGATTGATTTTTTAGTATAAAAATATGGATTTTCGTTAAAGTGAACAGTATTAGGACCTTTTCGTTAAAGTTCTTTTTTTTTTTTTTTTTTTTTAGGTTTTTTTAGTTAAAATGGTTTATGAGATTTACATAACTTCTTATTTTGATCTCTAAGATTTGAAATCAATATAAGTGATCCATCAGGAACTGATGCAGAAGTTATGCAAATCTTCAAAATCATTTTAATTAAAAACCTTTTTTGTATTAACAGTTTGCATGAAGCAAAAAAGAGAATAGTGGAGATCTCCTCTTAATCTGTAGGTGTCTTTCCACTGTCCATGATCTTATAAAAATCCACCTACTATTCTTCTTGTAGTCAATTCATTTTTCTACACCCTTCTGTCTCATATCCATACGGACCATACCCCTACAAACTCAAAGATGGATGATAAAATTACTAATAGGCCATCAGTTCATAAAGAAGCAGATACCCATTCCACCCAAGAAAGCTAAAATCAGAGCCAAAATCTTTAAGGACAAAAAAGAGACTAGTAATCAATGTGATGGGAATGGGAAATATCCTAGTGACAGCTCATCAGCAGTTTCAGCAAATCAGCAGCCAGATGAAAAGAAGAATGCTTGAAAAGCAGATTCTTTCACGTTTTTAACTGTGACAAATTTCCCGTTTTTACTGTCTGCCCATTTTTATTTTGGGGTTTCGGAATAGAATCATCTCCTGATCCTCTTTGTAAGTATTTAAAAAATTAATTAATTATGTTCGTTTATTATATATCGTACAGTTAAAAATTATTTTAAATTTTTGATTTAAAATTAAATATAAATATTACCTAACAAAAATTGAATGCACGATATACGATAAAAATATTGATTAATCTTTGAATCCCATAAAGAGAATCAAAGAGAATCCTTGTCCATTATATCGTTGTTCTTTTTCAGTCAATTTGTTCTTGCTTGAAGTCAATTTATTTCCTTTTTACTAATTAATTCACATGTTAGAGAAATTTGAAAATGTCCCGTTTTGTAAGATTATGTAGGAAACAAAGGTGATGAATTGCTATAAATAATGAACAGAAGTTAAATATATAAATACGATAATAGAACGGATTAAAAAAACCTTCGGTTGAGTCGAGGTAAGCGTTCGACGTTCTAATTTTAAAATGATTTCCACCA